AATCCAGCCATTTTTTTTATAACTAATTAAAGAAAGAAATATTTTGCCTTAGCGATGGCTCATTTGACATGTTTATATAGTAAGTGTCATTAGTGGAGAACTTCTATTTATGATCTACACTATATTTCTCTTTCAATTTCTTTAAAATAAAAAACAAATAAAAGCACTTTTTAATGAGGTGTTTAATAATTATATCTTTACAAAGGGCCCTATGTAACGCTTTTATTATGTCATCGACTCATCTTTCAATCCAAAGGGGCACTAATCTTGCCCGTGATTAATTATATTGCTTCTTTTCATTCCAATTTATGTAAAAATAAATAAATTATGTAATCTGAATTAAATCATAGATATTTATATGACTATAACTTATTTACAAACATCTAAAATATTTTAAATCTAAAATTATTATTATTATATATAAAGACATCTTTTTTAGAGGGAGGACGAATTAAAAAAATATATCATAAATAATTATTTTTTCTGATGACAAAATGTGTTCCTAATCAGCAAAAAATCAATCCAGGAATGATGGAAGGACCAACTAATGTTTGCCATTTGGCATTAATAATGTATTGAATCGATTATATATAATACTTGCCTTAATTTTTTTTTTTTATAACAAGGACAATATATTTACTATAGTACTGTATGTAGGTGATAAAAATGATCACATGATTTGCTTTGGAAGCTTTATTAGTAGGCTTATCTTGTCTTGTAGGTGGGTTACGTTGCGTCAATAATCTGTGTAGTACGTAGTATAATTAAATGAATCTAATTACATGTTTATACGAGAAAGGGTAGTGAAGGGGAGTCGGATCCAAAAAGAATTATTGTTATTTCCTTGATCGTTCAAGATATATAAGAGTTTTCAAATAAATTTACGGTGTTTTTAGTTTATATATAACTATTAGAAAAAAAAAATTAATGACAAACAAAATTTTCAAACTAATTATATAACAAAAATCTTATGCTCACTTGATTTAGTGATGATATATAAGAAAAACTGAACTAGCTAGGAGCTTTTCGCCGATGAATTAGTTAGAAATTATCGATAAATTTCCTATATATTTGCCCTAAATTGATTATTTAGAAAAGAAATCAAAATCAGAATAATTAATCATATTGGGAAATTCCAAATAATTAATCATATTAGGGATGAAGGAAGACACGTATGTTTCTTTAAGAAAATTGATATATATGGAGAAATTTTCTTTTAACAACTTTTTAAGACCCAATTCAATATGGTATCAGAGCAGAGTTCGTCTAACTCAATGTTAGGTCCCTAAAATTAAAAATGTTCATGCTGGGCGTGTTCCACATCGGTGGCTAATGAGATGGGTGGACTCCTTGTATGCAGTGATGGAGCCATTATTTTTAATAAGGGGATTCAGAATTCGAAGAAATAAACATATGAACTAATCCAAGGAGGTTCGACATCTATTATATACATTTAAAATAATTTTAACTATGTATATATAGTAATATTTTTCGCCGAAGGGGGTTCAGATACACCTCTAAAGACATGGTGACTTTGCCCCTCCTTATAAGGCTCGGACAATTTGCTGCCTTTTATGAATTGATCAGAATCTTGAACTATATCTTATATCATGTTGGCTTTGCTTTTCTTCATATTTTTTTGGATAAGATTAATCCTGTATATATCCACCTTTTTTACATTTAGAAAAGGAAAAATAATGGGAGACAACAAGAGGACGAAGCTTTAATTTAGGATTTTGTGGATGGCTAGTGTCCTCTTAATATATTTCAGCAGTTCAAAATTATGTTATTTTTTCCTATTATCTTTGAAGCCATGCAGGACGACGTGGCTAATTAATCCTCACTCCAAATCAAAATGAATAACTTTATGGCTCGATGTATTAATCTTCTATTATATGTGAGGATTTAAGGAAGGATTTGAATCGCAAAGGTTTATTTTACATAATATTTGTGAATTAATATGCACATTTCCGTCATATCTTTTTTCGTTTCTTTTAGTTCTCTTTTGCTTTGACATGTTTGAGTAAAAAAAATGGTTATTCGTTTCAACTAATTCGATTTTAAAAGTTAAATCATGATGAATTTAAAATTCAAATTTCACAGCATTTTTGAAGATAATCTTTTTCACCCGACTTTTGACGAGAATTGAAAGCACAATTTAGTTATTGAAACTTAAATTAATATTTTTTATTTATTCATTTGAATTAGAAAAACATCTAAGTGGTGTTTTATTAGCAAAAAGGTCCTCAATACTAATGACTATGCTATGAATTTTGTCAAAGGGTATTCAAAATTTATTTTAAAATTTCTAAAATGTTATTTTTGTTTTGACCTATATGTACTGTATTATGTTTTATTTGTTCCATATAATTTTTCGATAAAGATATTCAAGTGATCATTCTTTAAGTCTACGTAGCTGCACCGCATCTCAATACAATTCAACTTGGAACTTGGGAGCTACTTAGTTTATATTAATAGTAAAATCTGCAGTACTGCAACATGTTGGGTTCTATGGTGTAGTGGTTAGCACTCTGGACTTTGAATCCAGCGACCTGGGTTCGACTCCCGGTAGGACCTTTTTTTTTTAATGTTTGAGCCTTGAAATTATTTTAGATAAGCCCAGGCCCAAGGAGTCCAGCGCTTAATTGGGCCAATAAACTTGAATAATTGGGTATTTGGTTGGCATGGACTTTATTCATCAACGTTAAAGTCATAATTTATTTGGCAAGTGTCATTCAACTCCAACCATAAGATTGCGGGTACAAGTCCAGTGTTTTGTTTTGTTATCCGTTGGCGGGTACAAGTCTAATGTGTTGTTTCGTTGTTTGTTGGCGGGTACAAATTTAATGTTGTCTGTTGGCCGGTACACGTCCAATGTGTTGTCTGTATTACTAGTCGTAGTATTAATCTTATAGTTTGTTGATACTTCAGTTACTTTTTTCTAGGTTACTTTGACTTATTTTTTCGAAAATAAAATTCATGTGAAATTACTCCGAATTTACAGTTTTAGGAATGCAATAGTATCTTTCTTAGAAAATCTTCGTATATGATACATATTCCTACATGTATCAACTTAGGGTCTTCACTTTATTTTTTCAAATAAAAATATGAGACAACGAATGAGTAAAATTAATTGTATAGTTGGCATGGCACTCGACGTTGGTTGTTGGCAGTTGGCATCGCACATAATATCTATTATAATAATTCCAATTTATTAATTTAATACAAAATGTGCTGTTTAAAACATATTCTATTTTTTTTTCCTTTAGACACCTATATGATTTTGGGTCAACTCAAATACCCAATTAGTTGGTAAACTACTCAATATCTTCAAATGGATGGCTATGTTGAAAATTCCCAAATTAAGGCTAATAATATATTTTTATTTCATAAACAGAAACCCCACAACAGATTGCGACAATAACTAATTTTTGCATTTATCTAATTATATTGTGTTTGTTAGATTCTGATCCGTAAAAATTTGGACCTTTAATACTTAATTATGAACCATTTGTTTTGTTTTTTTTTTTAAAAAAAAAAGAATCAAAATTTGTTAGAGCATAGTTGAAGCCATTAATGGTGGCAATTGTTTCTAAGCATTATTGAATCATAAATGGTTTTTTAATGAATTCTTAAAAGCTTTTATTTATTGGTTTTATGATATAAAGTTTGTTTAAATCAACTCTTCAACAATTAACTTTTGATCTTTTATTTTTTTTTAATTGACTGTTTGATTTCTAATTAAATTCAAAATTTGTCTTTTCAATTTTAATTTTTTATTTACTTGACTATCTATCTTCATTTTTCAAGCCGATTGATATATAACTTAATGAGAATATTAACTTACTACATTTGTTTTTTCATTTCTTTAGACATATAGAATATCTATAATTCATATTCGAAAGAAAACTCGACTTATTTCAAAAAAATTGATAATTTCTAAGTTGAATCTTATAATTAGTACTTGTAAATTAGAATTGTGACAAATTAGCGTTACCATGAAACTGAAATTGAAGGATTTCAAATTCTACTGTGATTATTGGTTAAAACTCATGTTTCCAATTTTTTTTTCATATGTTTATGATGTGACAATTCCTAATTATGACTTCCTCATATAAAATAATCTTAATTGGTCTTAACTTTCACCAATGCCACACCACAGAAAGAGAAAGAGTCGGCAATTCCATAATTTGTCCCCCACTTAATTCCACAATTTAAAATACTTGCCTTCAATCATTTCAATTGCCACTCACTCCTCATGCTCAAATTTTTGTTGATATTAGGTATAAATAATATTTTAATTTAAATTAAAAGATGATATTTGAAATCAATCAAACAATTTAAGCATGGACTCTAAAAATATATTAATTCAAAAAAATTAAAGCGTTTTGAACATGTACAAAACAAGAAAATACACTTTTATTTTTAAAAAGTACGCGTTTAATATAAATTCTAACAAATAGTAGTACATTTTTATTTTCATCTTTCTTTAATTTGAAGTTTACCAAAAGCAAAATGGTTCTTATACAAAGATAAAAAATGTTATTTTAAATTATACATAACTATTAAATGAGATGATAATACGAAAAATTATTTGTGCAAAAACTTTGAAATATTGATGTATACCTAAAAAAAAGATTAGAATTATTATTCAATTTAATTTCAAATTAAAGTGACATGATTAGTACAGTATATAATAAAAAAAGATATATATATATATATTCAAATTAACCAAAGGTTGTATATTATAGTTATAGTCTATAGGATAAAATATTTTTTCCATTTAAATTTGTGTACATTAACGCCGCCACCGTCCATTTTTGCTTTTATACAATGGAGTGTCGCCGTGATCTGACGGCATTATCCCTCGTGGCTGACGCAGTCAACGTTTTGTTATTTGCCAGAACTTCAGTCAAACCCCCTGCAAAGAACCCAAAATAGAAGAAATAGTGAAGCAGGAGTAATAATAAAAGTTAAAGAGAGAAAAAAATAAACAAATAAAAAGCCGCCTTTTTTCATTTCCCTTTTTTGCTTTCTTTTCATTTGACCTTTTCCCGATTCATTTTGTACAGCTTTTTTTTTCTTCCCCAATATTTTTTCTTGTTACAGAGACCAAAAAAAAGACATGAATGGAGTCGCTCCGCCGAGGAGTACGGGTTCCGATGGTGGCGCAGTTGAAAATACGTCGTTTCTACGGATGTACCAGACCTGGAAAGGCAGTAATGTAAGTACTCGATTGGTTTTCCTTTGCTCATCCTACTTTTAAGCATATTTTAGGTTTTATAATGATTATGAGTGTGGTATTGTGTTTTTTTCTGCTTAAATTGTTCTCAATGTATTGTATTAGTTTGAAGATTGAACTTATCGGTTTTAGCGGAATCGATTTGTAATTTTGATCTCTAAATTGCTCGAGATTGTTGGATTTACCGTAATTTTGATTTCATTATTTGCATCGTTTTCAGATTAGTTGAACAGGCTGTTGAATTAGTTGTTTATAGTCCATATTTTTGTATTCCACGTGCTCGATTTTAGCGTCCAAAAATAAGTTTTTGATGACAATTTTGTGTTGTTAATTCTGTTCTCAACCTTCCATTTTCTACCATTTCTCTTTTTTCACTTTGGAGTTCAAGCGAGGGGAAAGGGACAATGACAATTGAACGCATAGTTATTGTGTGGAATACTTAAACTGGCACCATTAGATTGTAAGTTCAGGTGGTGCCACCTGACAGCTAATCCATTTACTAAGTATCTATTATCAACCTTTTCAAGTTTTGTCCTGTAAGAATACACGAGTAAGGAGATAGTATTTTGTTTCCTTTTTTCAATTTATGTTGGTGGTGGAATGAGGTTCACCAGTGGTTTATGATGACATGCCATTTGGATTTTAGATAAGAGTCTGTTTGAGCTAATTAAGTTCTTGAGAAAAGTCATACGGAACTTAAAATCATTATTAGAGGGAAAGTGATCTTGCTAGGTTGTGCATTAGTTGAGGAAAGATCCCTGCATCTAGGGTAGCGAATTCTGGAGTGATAAGGTTTCAACATTGGTAAGAGTCAGTATATGATTGAGATTGCATCAAATTATGCGCTGTAGCCTCTAGTGGTCTAAAGACCATCTATGTCTAGACTTAGGCTGCAAATGCGAGGAGACTGCAGAGACAAAATGATTTGTGATTTCTTTTCATTTGCCTAAGATTGGTGGACAGAGTTACCGCATACCTATGTCGGTAGGTAGCAAGTATCTAATGGAGTTATTGATGTCTCCATAACCTGAAGATCAAAAGTACAATGAATAAAAGTTGTAAGAGTTGTTCCAGTAACCTGAGGAATCTCTTCGGGGATCATTAATAAATGCGAGAGTCCGAAAAGCAGAATTGCTGCATTCTTCCGACTCTCTACGGAGTAAAAAGGAAACACTGAGGCAGTACTTGTTGACCCCAAAATCTTCTCCTCATCTAGATTAACTACTACTAAACAGAATTAAAGCATCCAAGGGTGTGGCCTAGCAGTCAATGAAGTGGTTGAGAGCCATGAGGCCTCAGGTTTAAATCCTAGGCGGAGACAATAACACTAGGTGATTCTTCCCATCTGTCCTAGCCTTGGTGGACAAATTACCTAGTACTTGTTGCGGGTGTGAGGTGACAGGTATCTCATGGATTTAGTGGAGGTGCATGATCATAAAAAAAATTAAATGACTTGATGGAAGCTACCTCAGGTTTTTTCTTTTGGAGACTAATCTACCCCAAGTTATTGAAGAATGAAGGGAAAGAAAAGAAGAAAAACCATAAGCTACCCCAAGTTATCAAAGAAGGGGAAAAAACCAGCAGCTACTCCAATAAAAGAAAGTTCTATACTAAAAATTTCCAGAATTTTCTGCAAAACAAAATAGGTACCTACAGACTACAATTATATTAAGTAAAAAATTTACTGCTAATGGAACATTGGAACTTTACGGACATTGCCCTTTGCCATAAAGACTAACATATATAGTTAGTGTGTTATCCCAGTTAGCTATATTGTTGTTTGTTGCTAAAATTTTGATATTATTATTTTATTTTATTTTTGCATTTTTGCTGTCTTAATTAGCATATTTCGTGATTTTGCTTAATCTCTCTTAATTTAAGTATTGCCTTTTGATTATGCAGAAATTTTGTGTTCAAGGAAGGTTCATATTTGGGCCTGATGTGAGATCACTCTTTATGACTATCTTCCTTATAGTTGCCCCAGTTGCTGTGTTTTGTGTATTTGTTGCAAGGAAACTTGTAGATGACTTTGCTGGTCATTGGGGGTGGTCTATCATGGTCGTAGCTGTTGTTTTTACAGTATATGTAAGTGCTTATATTTTTTTGTCCGTAACTAAGCTTATATTCTGTAAGCATGATTTCAAATATTTTAGGGTCATATTGGCTGTGTTAGCTGGTGGAATCAAAGCAAGTATTGTGCCTTTTGATCACTTTCAGATAATGGAATTCTACAAGTAGTTTCTCATGCTCACTTGACTATACATTCTTTCAAATTATGTAAAAGCTGTGTTGTTTACATAGCTGTTCATTTTCTTTCTTGCATTCGCTTTCAGCTTGGGCATTAAAGTATGTGTGTGTGATTCATGATCAAACAAGTTTCATTTGCACATTAATTGTAAATGTTGATAATTTGTCAAATAGACTGGCTTGCTATGATTTATTAATTGTAGGAAATCTTTTGTCGTTGCTTAACATTGTAGCTTGATTATTATGATGAATCCATAACCTCATCTGCTGAGAAACTTCTAGGAATATAGTTCTTTTGACTAGTATCTACTCTTTACATTCTAAAATATTACCAGGTGGTCTGGAGCATGCCCAATGGCTTAAATTTACATGCTCGTTCGTTCTAGTATGATTAGATGCCTCTGGTGATCAACTCAGTTTGGCAGTCCATTGCTCAACCAACCTAAACCTTTCCTAGATACTCCATATCCATTAGTGCATGAATTATTATTAACAAGAATTCTCCTTGTAATTATCTTATTAATTTCAGGCAATATGGATTGAATACATACTTATAAATTATAATAAGATGTGGATTGCATGAATAATTATGTCAAACTTATAAAATGGTCAGAGCATCCCATAAACCATTTTTATGTAGAAGGAAAAAAGGGCATAGCAATTAAGCAAGAGGTTAGCTATTTTTTATGTACAATGCAGATTATATTTTGAAGATGCTGTTGTGTTAAAAAGGACCAAGTTAATCTTCTGCCAATTTTTTCTAATTGAACTAAATGAATAGTTGCAACTAAACAAAGATGGATATTGTTTCATAAATTAACTGCATTCTGGATCAACTTGATAAATCGACTGCGGTAAATAAGTCTAATACTAAGTGGAAGATGTGCTGCAGAGTGCAGTCTACTTTAGAAACAAAAGTGAAAGTCCTTGTATGGAACGCAGATTGGTTTCATCTATTTGCTAATTTGCCAGATGATAACTTGCCTCAATTGTTATTGTGTTGGACTGTAGGGTGAATTTAATTAATTTAAAGAACAGAAATTTCTAATCATGGTTCATTTCAACAAAAAAAAAGGAAATCTCTAACCATGATATACATATAATGGTTATGAAAAGCTTATTGTGGTGGGGGTGGTGTGGGGATGGAAAATAGAAAAGTGCTGTTATTTGGGACATAAAATAATGAGTGATGTGATGATGTAAGTTTGTATATTCCTTTAGTTTTCTATGCACTAGAGAATGTGTCTAGTTTCTTGCAGTTTTATTTTCATTTCTTGGATATCACACGAAAGTGGATAGACTGCTATCTGTTTTTTACCTTATGATCATGTTAATACAGGTGACCTTGTGTCTTCGTTTGAAAAATAATTCTTTAAGTGTAAAGGATTTTGGATGTTCCTTTCTAATTTCTGTATCATGGAGGAACTATTAATTAGGTTGTGTCCTGAACTTCAATTTTATCGCCAAGAGGGATTATAGATTCGTGAGTCAAAATAGAACGTAATAAATGTGTTTTTCTTTGAAAGGTTTTAGTCCTGCTTCTACTGACATCTGCAAGAGATCCTGGTATTATTCCTCGCAATCCTCATCCTCCAGAGCTAGAGAACTTTGAAGGAAGTATTCAAAGTGGACCTGGTCAAACTCCACAATTACGTTTGCCCCGCGTCAAGGACGTGAACGTCAATGGAATAACTGTAAAAGTCAAATATTGTGATACCTGTATGCTATATAGGCCTCCGCGCTGTTCTCATTGTTCAATTTGCAATAACTGCGTGGAACGATTTGACCATCACTGTCCCTGGGTCGGGCAATGTATTGGATTGGTGAGTTCTAATCTCTGAAAAATCTTCTCTGTTTTGCAGTTGGACCCTACAATATGTTAATCTCTTTTTCGTTTTTATTCCTCTCGAAAAAAATTATCTTTGCATAGCATTTCCTCATTTTTTCTTAATTTGTTAGTAACACATGAACTTAATATTCCTATTCTTGTTAGTCCCTTAACTTCTTTAACTTCTCCGGAGGCAGTATTTGGAATTTTTTGTCACTCCAATTGTTGGAGTTCTGTATGTATCAACAATTTGTGATGATTAGTCATTATTTGATTTGTGATCAATTGATTTTGTGATTCTCCCCTTTGTGGATCATATTTTGATTGCTGCCCGAAAGAGGCCTTGGATTCTGAGTTCTGAGTGATTTGATATCTGCATGTTATAACATACACAGTTTATTTTATGTTCATGAGTTGCAACGGTCCTGCATTGCTGGGTTTGCCTGTCGTCCCAAAAAGATTTCAGTCTCTTATCATTTCTCCTCTTTGTTTATCCTGAATCCACAAAGCCTCCTCAAGAACATGTTTTGTGGTCATTAAGTTCTTCTTTTCAAAAGTTTTAAAGCTAGAATGGGGCACTTGAACGACTGTCAGTTTGTCATGAACTTTCCCAAACCATGCACTCTTTAGGTTAACAACACCAGCTAGTTTTATAGTCAAGTTAGTTCTAAAGTACATGATCTTCTGTTTTGGGGTATTGGCTAAAAAGATACTTGATAATTTTCTTGTTAAAGAGGAAACCTAGTAATGATCAAGTATATCAACTTAAAAATTGTTTACTTGCTAAAAGTATAAGATTAAAGATTGAGTGATTTGAGTGGGGGACAACTCCTTGTTTTCTGTTCTTCTATTTTTCCCTAGCGATGATATTTTAATTTGCAATGTTTTCTGCACATCTTCTCCGTACTTAATCCTGGTAGAACATCTTGGTCATCTCCCTTTTTGTGATAAAGGATATCTAGGTCTCTAAGTTGGAAAATATTTTCCTAGTTTGATCGTAGCTTCTATTTCGGTAAGCACAAAATTTCTAATTGATGTTTAAGCCATTAAATTGAACTACATTCTGTTTGGTGGTGCAGAGGAATTACCGCTTCTTCTTCATGTTTGTATTCTCGACTACCCTTCTTTGCTTGTACGTCCATGGCTTCTGCTGGATCTACATTAAAAGGATCATGGATGGTGAGCAGACCAACATCTGGAAAGCAATGGCCAGGACTCCTGCCTCCATTGTGTTGATTGGTTATACATTCATATCAGTCTGGTTTGTTGGTGGCTTGTCTGTCTTCCATCTGTACCTCATTGGCACAAACCAGGTAATATGTTCTTCTTGACAACTGCTGCAGTGTTTCAGATGTTTTCCTTTTTTCTTTGTTTATTCAGTTGTCTAAGTAATTCAAAGTCGTGAAGTCCTTTGGATTTATAGGATTAGATTATTTGATGTTTTTGACACTTGAGAGTCTTCTATTCGCTTGCAGTCTACATATGAGAACTTTAGATATCGATATGATCGGCGGGTCAATCCTTTTGACAAAGGTGTAATCCATAACTTCTTAGAGATATTCTGCACCAGTATTCCTCCTTCGAAGAACAGATTCAGGGAGAGAGTGCAGAGAGAAGCTGGGATACCAGCTCGTGAAGTGGCTGGTGGTTTTGTTAGTCCGAACTTGGAGAAAACAATGAGCGACTTAGAAATGGGAAGAAAGCCAGGTTGGCATGAGACTGCAACAGGGACTGATGATTTTGAAGAACCACCTAGAAATGATAATCAGTTAGATAAGGATGAAGAGCTCTTGTCTGCATCCCCAGAGCTAAGCAACACCGCCTTGGCTGAAGGGCGTAGTATCCTACATCCTAGGCGCTCTAGTTGGGGAAGAAGAAGTGGAACTTTGAATATACCGCCTGACGTAATTGCCATGGCATCTGAAATTGGAGAGTCTAATCGGACGACTGTCAGTGATAGTGCTTACCGGATTGACAACCATCAATAGTAGTTGGCCTGTATGTTGTTTAAATTATTGTAGAACAACTGACAAAGCCAAAGGAGATCCTGTCCCGTCCACTGGACGGGATCAGGTTATCCTTGAGGAGGTGTGCTGCTGTGTGTATAATTCTATTTTCCTTCTACGTTTAGTTTTCTTTTGTTGAAATGTGCTTAATCCGCAAAGAGAAAAAAAAAAATTCTTACCAGAAATGGCTTCCAACTGTTATATGTGATATATTGTGAAGATACAAATTCTATTCTACTTCATCGCCTCTTCTCTCTTTTTACTTCAGATGTGCAAACTCCTCGACTTGAAAAGTTTTCTAGAAAGGCACAGTTTTTTTCAAAGGTGAAAATGGTTCACAATAACACTGAAAGAGAATCTTCAAGGCAATTTATTAACATGTCTGACAAATGAAGGCAATATTAAGAAGGTTAAAGGGCATCCTTTTACGTCTTTCCGTTAACTTTGAATGCCCTCCATTTGTGACGGTTGTTTCGTCGTTGGATAGAATGAAGGGGGACTATGACGATTTAGATCATATTCAGAGGAATAAAGATCAAAGATAGGTCACTTAAAATTTAAATAAAGATGAGTACTTTTGTGACAAAAATCAACTCAGTGATTCAATTCTACAAGAGAAGAGAGACATCCAAAATTCAAGATTCTCCATTCATGTTTTGGACATTTCATGCCCAAAAAACTACATAACTAATCAATTTATTGATCTCATTACAAAAATCCCAAACGAGAGACAGTATCCATTACGTAAATCAACCATCTGCTAACATCAATAAATATATTGAGAACAGACCTTTGTGCGAATTGTAATGGCTACCAAGTAAACAACAGTGTACATTTTAGTTTTCATTGGCACAAAGGAATGGGAAGTGTGCATATTATGCAGCAAATCGTTCTTCACTGCATGCTCTGAAATCGTTTGACAATCATGAGGCTCATTTCCATATAACGTTGCGCACAGTTAGATAGACAATTAGATTCACTGGAGCTGAACTTGCTTCCAGGTGTGCTAGTGATACATTTATCCCAGCAAGCACTTGTAAGCTTTCCAACCATTTCATTGATCATGGCCCTTTCCTTCTGTTGCTGTAGAAAATCAAGAATTGCAGAGCAAAAATTAGTGAGATGAAGACATTCAACCATATCACAACCCTAAGAAAAGCAAAAAACAACAGTTAACTGGAGAACTGATGTTTTATAAATCGCTCAACACCAGTGGGGGGGCAACTTAATCAAACAAAGTCAGCACGCAATTCCAAGTCATGTAATATCCATTCTAATACTATAAGGGAACAAGATTCTGCACTCAAGTAGCTTAGGATTCCAATGCACTCTGAACCTCTTAGCCTAATATATGGCAAAAAAGGAAAAGGCAATGAACAAGATCAGAATGTATTTTTGTGAAGAGTTAACATATTTACTGAAGTTATGAGGAAAAAATGTTTAGAAGTAACTGGATAAGCTAAATGTTATTCGGTGAAAGAAACACAAATTCTTGAGGCAATACATGACTAAGATCCTATTTTACTAGTTTGTTGCGTCCAACAGGCCTCAAAATATAGCAAGCAGCACAAGAATTAACTTCAGCCCATAGATTCTGGTGAAAAGAAAATCAAAGACTACTTCATTAAACATTGAAAGTGAAGTCCAAAAATAATGAGTTAAGATCAACTTTAACGAATCATAATTTTTCCAACATGATATCCAAGTTTCTTGTAGATGACCTTCACTGAGTGCCTTCCTGGTAGATTGATGGCACAACAAGACTTAGGACATAATCAGCCATCCTGCGTAACTAGCAACTACTACACTTTTCATGTAGCTTGAGTAAGATCAAACTGTGATAAAGATAAATGAGCTCAAATGTTATCTTCTCACTAGTTTAAGAGCTGCAAATTCATTCAAAGGACCTTCATAAGATAATTGAGCCCAAAAAAAATAACGTTTTACTAGTTTTATAAGCTGCAAAATAGAAACTTTTAAGTGATTCTAGTTTCATTCCTTATAGGAATTTGCAGCATATACAGTTTTTCCAGTCTCCTTAATGCTTTACTCAAAAGCAAAAGTAGCATCAAAATGACAAACTTAATTGTGTCAAAATTTGGTTCTCCTTTAATAGTACTACCTCGTGTTGGAGAGTTACTCCAGGTGATTGCCTAATCTTCTCTCATAAAAATTAGACTTTATGAATCAAAGCCAAAGAGAAAAACAAAAGGAACCAATTAATCAAATCAATATTCACAGAAAGTCAAAATGAAGCATTATTGTGCACTGTACCATTTTATACTATTTGCCTAAAGCAACTCAAGTAATCGTCCAGAACAAAATCGAATGCCGAATGGATCAATAAAATGTGCTTGGATGAGTGTGTATAAACAGAAATACAATCTATCGAATTCGAAAAACTTACATTGAGAAAATTCTGCAATTCTGGTGACTGAAGAGATGAAGGATCCATGGAGACTTCGACGGAGCAAGTCTAGTGATTTTCCCGGTTAAACGGAAGTTTTGTCGGCTTGAACTTTTTGCGTAAACCCTAAACCAGAAGATAAACTAGAATTAAATAGTGTTGAGTATTGGATTGGATTGGCCCATAAGTTTAAACAAGTTTTGGACTTCGAAGCCCATTAAGCGTCCGTAAGTTAATGGCCCGCCGGGAGTCATTTTAAAAGTATTTTGACTAACTTTAAATCTTTGAATCCGTCGACCGTCCTTGTTTGGATGGTTGTCAACCATTGTATAAGTATTTTATTATATTCTTTGTTCGAACTTTTGATTGTTGCTCCATCGTATTATTAAAATTTATATTTAAGGAAAGATTTATCAACGTGAATTCATATTTAGGAAAAGATTCATTAACGCGATTCGATTTGATGTGATTGCATCATTACTTCAATATTTTTTTCTTATTTTGTTTTTACTTATTATTTAATAATTCTACTTTATCCATTACCTTACCTTTTGATAATACCTCTACTTCTACTTTTCTTGTGGATTTTATCATTTAAATTATAAATATGTGACATTATATTAAGACAGACGAAATATTGTATACAAGATATGTTGTCACGAGCGTGTAAAAAAAAAATCGCATAGCAAGCAAGTAATATACTCCTCTTGTCAAGCAAAGAAGGATATGGATCATATTATAAAAAATGCATACTATATCCTAACATAATTATGTAAGAAAATTACACATGTTATGAAAATGTTGGTTAGTATATTCAATGGATAGGGATAATTTAAATTTTATATTCACCTTTATTAGATTCTTTCTTTTTTCCCATTCCTTTAGGCCTTGCCTTTCAATTCCTTATTTTTGAAAGGAATTGAAATGCCATTTTACAGACTTCTTAGAATGGGTTGTGGCGTTTCCAAGATAGATGCCAATGGTGTTGCCACACCTAATAGATCAATTCTCCCAAATTTCCCTACTAGAAAGAAACAATCAAACAAATGCAATATCCCTCCAAAAAAACAACCTATGTTGTTGATGCCTGAAAATGATGATAGACTTTCCAATTCTGCTTTAAAATGTGATGTTGATTTGAATTATGTCGCACCCAAGGCGTATAAAGATGAAAATGATGAAAAAAAGATCGCGAAAATAAAGACAATGGTTGAGGAAGCGGAGAAAAATGATGAAAAGGGTAGACTAATACACGAAGATGAGGGAGAGGAGGAGAATGGTCATGACGATGATGATCAAAGGGCGATTAAAAAGGTTCAGGATGATAATGCTTTTCCTGGTTCACCAAGTTTTAGGGTTTATTTTACCGATAAAGATATTGAAACAAAGAAGATTAATGACGGTATGTATATGTATCAATAAAATATTGACTAATTTTATGATGTCTATCCATCGGTAACATGATAATTGTGTTAAAATGTGTGAAGGTTATAATAAGGTGGGCTTGAAGGACGTTACCCCAGTTGGAACAACAATATCATCAACAAAGGTGTGCATGTGATTTTCACAATTAGTTATGTTCTTTTGCATTGCTTCTTTTTTCTTTTAGAGAAAAAACAAATTAGCCAAGAAATTCATACCTAAAAAGGGAATGGATATGTATAAATTTTTCTTTGTTCAATAAGATTATCAATTATGAATATTTTTTTTTGCCAATTCTTTTTTCTTCAGAAGATGTAATGCATTGTTATCTTTCCATCACGACATGGTGGATTGATAAAGATTAAAATGGAGAAGTTATATATACATACACAAATCTATCAATTACCTTGCTCATTTTGAATACATTCTTGCTTGCTTTGTTATTACTATATGTTATGTAGAGACGTTAGAATTGCTAGTATAATTAATCAGAAGTGGTAGCAATGTATATCCATTTATACATTGTTTTTGTTTCCCAATTGTTTAATTTTCGAGTGAAACTTGTTATAAATTTTGAAATTAGATTTTAAAAAAATACTATAAATATAACATTGGACAATCCAAAATATTTAACATGCATAGACGGTCAAAAGAAAATTTTGAAAATTAAAATGGTGTCACGTACATTTGAACAGAGTATAACATTGAACTTATAATATTGACAATTTGATACAGGAGTTGGAGTCAGAGTCGGAATCTGAATCGGTGAGGAAAGAGGAGAAGAAAGATATAAGAAAGAGAAGTACTTTTAGCAAAGTTCTACCAAAGAACTTGTTGAATGTTCGATCATCATCTAACTCTTCAACTCGATCCAATGATCATCATTATCATCATAAAGTAGCTTCTTGATCATATATTATATGGCATGTTGAAGGGGAATTATTAAAAACACCTCTACACATTGCTTTGTTTTGTTTGTTCTTTTGTGCATTCTATTTCTCCTCTTTTGACTCTATATGAAATATAATTATAATAGAAGGTTCTTCAAGGCATCATGTATTGTTAATTTGAGATATACAACGTTCAATAGAACACACAATTAAATTTATTTGTAAATTAAATATTCTTTAATACATTTTGTTGATCTCTATATATATTTGTAGTTGTTTAGCTAGAATGTTTAATGTATAATATATATTTACCATTTTGGGTGTTAGTGCTATATTATATTTTCATATAATTTATGTACGCGGGGCTATCTAATCTAAATGATATATATTGAATTCATATTATGCATATGTACGAATATTTATACTTAAATCGTGGACGCTACTATATATATATATATGAATTTTTATACTTCAATTGTGGACGCTACTGTATATATATACATACACTTAAATTTACACAATATATATTAGATCACTCAAGTACATTGTACAATAGTTATTCCGTGTATATTTGTCTTCTTAAATAAGGTTTTTGCAATGGTTTGTCATTGCCCATGTTATCTCCCAAGTTTAAATATTTCATTAAATCATGATTAATAATATATACGTTACTTCACTAAAAATCACTTAATTATAGTGAATTGTATTATTTTAATATAAGCATATGATACAAATAAGTGTTTTACGTTGAGATTAGTGGTACAAATAGAAAATGTTTGGACTAATCATTATACCAGCTAGCATCTAGTTGTAGAAGTTTTTGTTTCGTCATTTTTCATGAGAAGAAGAAGGGGCTATTTGATTATACTAGTAAATAGTGTGTTATCTTGGTCACTTTTTTTAAAAAAATGGATTTGAAAATAATGTAGTAACATAAATAATAGGAAAAAGAAATAAAATTCATAAGTCATATATGCATGTCAATGATAACCCTTCAGAAGCCCTAAAGCCAGAAGGAAAAACAAAAGGAATATGAAAAGGACTTTAATAAGAGGATAATGGTTAAATATTCTTCTTAATTCCTCTTAAAAATAAATAAATAAAAGTAATTAAAGGCAGGCAATAAAATCTTCTTCAATAAAATAAAAGTGTAATAGCCCATTAATTAAGCTACAAACAACTTGGTCAAATTATTGTTACATACTGCCTCTACTATTGCACCGTTGAAATGATTTAAAGTTCAAGAGAATCGTAATACTTTTTTCTTTATATATATTTATCCTTTATATAAGAAAATATTAATTATTTTATAAGAAAATTGTTTTAGAATAATAAAGAAAATATAACAGTGGAAAGTAATTCTAATCTTTTTAAACTATTGTTTTATTGAGTATCTCGTATTTATTCTAATTTCAAGTTAAATTTTATTATATTATATTATTAAATTTATCGCTAGGTAACAATTAAATATTTCATTTTATGTAATGATCGCGTCAATAACTTTTTCATTTTTAATACAATTTTTATACTAGTAGACACACTACTCTTTATTTAATTTTATTCTTCAAAATATTAATAGATGATGTTATATAATAACATTAAATAATAATATTTAAGAGCTAATTAATATTTATAAAATAATAAAATATATTATAGTTAAGATATCAAACAAAGCGTTAATTGATTAAATATTCATATTTATTCAGTGGTAGCAGACATATTCCGTGGACAATATTATCGGGGAATTTTGTCCTTCAAAGGAGAGAGGAGTCGGAGTTGTATAGCTTTTGCTCTGGGGTCCCATAATCATCCGCCATTAACAAGGTAACACAGCAAAATCGAACTTTCTCCACTTTTCTCAGCGCCTGCCACCACCAAACACCTAACAACAACTGTAATAGTTAATTTCCAGATCGAGTCTTCGTGATTTGTTGAGATTATTGGTATCTACTTCTGCTAACTGTAGATATATTCATCGATCAATGTATGTTGCATCTGCATTTGACTTGTATATTTTGTGTTTATTATTAGGATTTTGATTTTTAGCTAAAAAGGACCAGACATGTCTGGAATCATAGGTCGAACAATGGCCAATAGAAGGATTTCTGATTTGGTGAGAATAAGTTACAGTTTCTTAATTTATTCATTTATTGAGGTGGATTTTGTGTATTTAAATGGTGAATTTGGATTTACGATTACAGAACAAGTTCTTGGTGGGAAGTAGACTATTTGCATCTAGAACTTACTCTTCCGCAGTTAAAGAGGTGATTTCTTTTGTTTTTCTTATCTGACTTTGTTGGTCTACATATTTGGTTGATGTTTACTGATGTTGATAGTGGAGTAATTTGATCTTTTTGTAGATGACAGTGCGTGACGCATTAAATTCAGCTCTAGATGAAGAAATGTCTGCGGATCCTAAGGTCTTCGTTATGGGGGAAGAGGTACAATCAAAGTTTTTGTTTAAAATTGTTTTTAAAATTGCTGTGGTGGTTGTGTTGTTGTTATTGTTGCTGAGGTATCTGTCACTACTAATGGTTTTCATTTAATCTTGATCTGTGTTATTTTACATTAGTTATAAAGGAAAAAAAATCTTAATCTTTGTTATGTTTGCTCAGGTTGGTGAGTACCAGGGTGCCTATAAGGTTAGAAATGGTTCCTTTCACAATTTTTTCAAGTCTTGTGTTATTATTGGCACTCATTGCAATGAGAATCATTTACTCAAGTGCGTGAGTTTTTTCTTTTCAGATTACAAAGGGACTTCTGGCAAAATATGGTCCGCAAAGGGTTATCGATACACCAATTACTGAGGTTGCTCCTTGTGCTCCAATCATGAAAATGCTGCTTC